TAAACTGCATGGAGTTTTAGGGGACGAGTTTTAAAATCAAAGGATACAAGTGGACGGGTAATCTACCCAACCTCATGCATCCCAAGTATCAGGCAGTCGCCATTTTGGTAAGTTTATAAGAACCGGGTTGTTTTATTGTTTCTGTTTTGATCTGTTATGTATAAGGTTATACAGCGTTGAATATTGCATACAGAATAGTGCACTATTCACATGTATTCCAAAACCGCATTGTTACAGTTAAAAACCTCTTTTGTAGCTGCGTTGTAATTCTAAGTTTGATCGCTTAACGTTGGAGTTTTTGGCTGTACGACCAACAATGCATTTCGGTTGTGGAATACACTATCTTCAGCTGTATTCAACGTTTCCTGAATTATACTAATACTTCAGTTCCGATTTCTTTTTTGCTCTGTGTTAACCTCAAAACCAACAAATTTATAGTTTTGTTTCTCAGACCTTGAAAATCCGYGAAATTTGTGAAAAAATTAAATGATTTGAAATTTCACGGGTGTTATAATGATTAAATCTGGTGACATTTTGCAAAATTGAAAACACAGAGCACAGAGAACTCGAATCTGGAGTATTATTTTTGGTTTGCACATTTCTGTGCATAGCTATATAGTTTCGTATTTTTTTCTTAATACAAAAATAAGAGAAAATGGTATAATTTAGAAACCTTTCAGTATTRGTCGACATCAGTCGTTCTGGTTCTCAGACAAAGGACTAACCAACGTGTATTACAATGCGCAAGATCAAAGCGACCATTGTTCTTGCAGTATCTCCGTATAAACAATGTTTTTGTCAGTCGTAAAAAAGAATATTCTAAAGCTATGGCTGTAACATTAACCAATTAAAGACCATTAAAAAGCGAATTTATGTTTCAAATATTTTATGCTTTGAAATATCACACCTTTTTCTACCAAGTTCACAATTATATTTACGATCTAATGTTAACTAGTGCCTTTTTCAATTCAACTGGCCAACCCCGAGATCTGTATCCTTCAATACTTTCCTTATTTTGTATCTTCATGATAATGATTTTTTTGTGGGGTCCACCCCCTACACAAAGACATTAACCTTTATACAAGAATACAAAGCTCAGTATTTTCAGTCCAACCTTCAAAGAACGACCCAGCATTCGAAAAAAGAAAAGTAGAACGTTTCACTCTAACTCCGTTTAAGTAATATTCAGTGCCCCGCACCCCTCCCTGAGGAAAATCCTGGATCCACCCCTGCAACCTTCAACTCGCAACCTTGTCGTGATTGCTTGTGTCTATAGATTCTATAAATATTTTATACAATTATTAGTCTAAACWAAACCCATATATATATTTTACACAAGCAACGTAGTTCGCCAAYTTAACTATTCRATTGAATTTTKTTCAAACSGATRTCACCGGAGTGTCATATAAAGCAAAAGCCACTGYTGCAAGTGGCATGCAGAAAAGATACTATACATTTATTTACATGTTCAAGATTCAGACTAAGACCTATTGATTGCAATATTGAGTCATAATATAAGATAATCAGTAGGAATCAGTCTCGTGCACTGTTTTTATCATAGCGTGATCAGTTTGTCCGATTCCAAAATGACTAAAATAATTAAAATAATCTTATAAAGCGCTTTAATAATATATCGTAATTACTTTCCAGCACGATTCTTACAAGCGATCACGCAATGCAGTAAAACACCTAAACATCGGCCCGTCAAGCCGAAATGCTCATTTCAACTGTGCACCCTACAAATATGAAATATTTCATCCTTGAATCTCTAAGTAGTTTCTAAATTCACGAATGCATGAATTCCTTTTAAATAACAAAATACAGTCCTGTCACTTGAAGAAAAGATGTCTAATATGAATGGAAAAGAAAATTATATAATGCCTCATTAGYTCTTAATTTTCACTAGTCACTCTTTTAATGAATTAATCGCGAAATTATAGACCCACAAAAAAAGTTTACGCGAAAAAGCAAATAAATAAAACACTGAATTATTTGACAAAAACATCCAAATTAATGCTTGCTAAATATGTCTGTACTTGTATTGTTCCGATTTCGCATGATTTTTATTGTAAGTGCCCACGAAAATTTGTATGATGACTTAATTATTTCAACCTCAATACAAATCCCTTCTTCAGTACTGAATTCCAATGCACTATTTCCAGCATCTTTCGTGTTTATTTATTTTTACGTTGAATATGGAGCACCAAAAACGAAGGGAATCCAGACCAACCGACACCTCACTCGRTCACCATACTCAATTTTTAGAATATCTGAACACTTTTCGGGTCATTTAAACAGACTTGAAGTGAAACACCTCCAACAATTACTGACTTTGTAGGTGTTGCCAAATAAGGCAAAAATTCCAAATATGGTTATGGTTATTAGTCTTTGACAGCTGTTTGAGGGGAGTTTTTCGTAGGCAAATCTTTGATAGGGAGGAATACCAATCGCTGTGCATTAAAAGCAATCTAGAATTMAGTCGCCAACGCTCTGTAAATTGACATACAGACGATTATAAAACGCCAATTATTTCTTAATTGAAAAAAAGTCCAGCACATATCTTCTAAGAATATCTTCCCAATTATACTGTGTCATAGCTTGTAGCCCTTGTAGCTTGTCAAAAAAAAAAGTTACTTGGCATCAGGTTGATATTTCATTCATAGAATTTTGTCTGCAATATCCATTATTATTGAGAGTAGTTAAATCATTCGCACATTTCCACGTGATCTTGCCTGTACGAGACAACAGGYATCTGACGTTGGGTTGAACCYACACCCACATTCCATCCTTGGTTTCGAATACAAAATATCTTGGTGACGACTAATTTGAAACCTTGTCTATAATTATTGCTTTGTAGCGAGTARAGAAACGGATTAATCGACGAATGGATTGGAAGTAGGTACACAATTACATTGGAAAGGTTTACAATGTTTYGATTAATTCTTCGAGCACCAGTAAGACCAAAGATTGATATCTGGAGTACACCGTACGGGACAAATGCAATGAAAAACACTATTGTTATTGTAAGGAGGAGTTTCACTAGTTTTCTCTTTGCAATTAAGTCTTCTCGGCTGAGTCCAGGGTTGTTTGTCTGACTACAGCTGAAAATCGTGTTTCTGAAGTACAAACCAGAAATGATTTGAGAATAGCAGAATGCAATGATAAGAAAAGGAATGATGGTCATTGCCATGACGATGCCACCCACCGATACCAAAAAACTGCTATCGTTATTCCGGGGAAGGCAAGCCTTGGCTATTGGATTGTAAACCATGTGGATCAGTATTGGAATATTCATTGCCATGGAAACAATCCATATTCCAATAATAACGAATATGACGTTTTCTCGTGTGAGTCTTCTTGAAATCCTCATTGGTTTTACCAGGGCGTTATATCGCTCAATGGAAAGAACTGTTAGGCTAAGACTAGTTGCTAGAAGAGCAACGTTTGATAAAGTGTTAGGCTCAATGACTTTACAAAGGAAGCTGTTATCAAAGGGAATTGTCCTTGATAGTATCATGTGTATAGCAGTAAGCATTAACATGATGATGTCTGCAATTGCCACGTTAACAAGGAGAAGRTTCGTCGTTGTTTTCATGCTGTTGATCATCGCAACAATGGTGACGACAAAGGAGTTTCCAATGATGCCAATTATGATAATGGTGTGAAGGATTATGACTGGCGCTAGATTTACTGATGGAGGCGAGGGAAAAGTATTGTTTCCTGAACCGTTCGTAAAATTAGCGCTTTGATCATTATTCATGTTGAGTTCAAATCCTAGTACTGCAGTACGATATGAACTGATCTCACTCTCTTGTTGTGTTGCTTGGACCGTACGCGCCTAAACCAAAGTGATAATACCTTTCACGATGGATTTTTACCAGTAATATTGTGCTTCCAATTATTATAAACTTGTTCCAAAAGTCCTTGTGCAAGAACTGTACCTTTATCTGTATTCAAACCCTTTAATTCTTAAAAATATCTTTGAAACACTTTATTTTCAACCAACTCAAAAATTGGGAATGCCTTCGTTGAACAAGTAAAAAACATCAGAAACAGCTTTTAACAAAATTGTGTACTAAAGTCTTGAACTGATGAAAAGGTGAGACAAGTACCTTCCTTTTCAGTCTTCGATATTTCCTATCTCTTGGGACGTCGTTCCTTGAATGACAACTTAATGTGTATGTAGGCTTGCACAAACTCTCTTCTTTTCTAATGTATATCGTCAGAACAAGTATTTTCAAGTAACTTGAAGATGGGCGACTTCACTTCAATCTTAGGTGRGAAATATAATCACAGTCCGTGCACAGATCAGGACTGTGAATGACTATCTGTTGTCTCTTTAAATATCTTTAAATGCCACACCAACCTCTTTTCTTTAAATCCTGAAAAACAACAAAGAATGCCTATAAGTGGGGGTAATGCATTTAATGGAATTGGCTATCTGTTTTAATGACACTGTATTAAGCCCTTAAACTTTTAATAAACTAAGCCARCATTTRACTACGCACAGTGGACGTAAATAAGTCAATATAGTTCTTAAAAGTAAACATRCCATTAAATACGCCAACGAAAACAAAATATTTATCATTGAATTGCACTGTTTGGAGCAAACTGTTCACTTTTTATGTTTTTATTGCCATATAAAAGGTATGTATAATATAATTTTCGAAGGACGTTAATGTCATCCTTTTCCTGACAATAAAAACCTTTTATGCAGTTTTGAGTTCAGTGGATCGCTTTCACCTGTTAGCCGATGTTTTTTTCATTTTTTTTTTTTTTCTTAAAAATATTCGCTTATTTAATCAACTGTATTTGATATCGGGACCACATATTCAAGATTCAATTCGGAACRTATGAATCCAAACACCGATCCATTCCATAATTTAGTAATATAATATTATTACCAGAATTTGTGAGAATAGTCAAAAAAATCATATAGCTAACATTCACTTGGTGTAAACTTAACAAAATCCATTACGTGACGTGAAATTTTCAACCTACGATCAGGTTCATTTATTCAATATTAGAAACCGAGCTCGCCCAATGCAATGTCACCACTTGATTTTATAACCAACGCAAATCATAAATAGAGGATATTACATGGGTGTTCGGAGATACGGATTTTATCTTCTAGTGTTGAAAAGATTTTTAACACGAGAAGATAAAATTSGTATCTCCAAGCGACCTGTAATTTTCTGTTTATCATATGAAAGCAAATTGTGTCGTAAAATACTWTTTTTCTTACTTCCACTATATCGAGAAAACTCGAAAGTGTTATTTTCACTAGTGAAAATATCAATTTTTACGAAATGGAGAAATAGGTGGAGAAATAGGTATTTCATAGATAATTATATGATAAATAATATTATTACCAGAATGTGTAAGAAGAGTGAAAAAAAAAACAAACATACAGATAACATTGCACTTGGTGCAAACTAAACAAAACCATTAACGTCTTCAATTTACGAACAAGTAATATTCAATATTAGGATCTTATTACCAGAACTTGTAAGAAGAGTTCAAAAAGACATATAACTAACAATGCACTTGGTGCAAGCTAAAAAAATCCATTACGTGACGTGACGTGTCCAACGTACGTAATCATAAGCCATTTACGCAAAGGAAACAAATAATTCAGTACTAGAAGCCGGCACGCGAAAGGTCTGGCCAAACTAAGACACATGTAGCTCGCTAAACTGACTAACATCGTTGATACACGTTWTTACCATAATGAAACTGCATACCGCGAAATCATGTTGAGTTAAAATCCAAGAATTGTATAGTGCAGCATTAATTGGTCGAGTTTCCATGYTGTGTTATTTTGAAACGTGGCTATCTATTCAAACCAAATAGGTTAGTCAATTTATACTTTTCCCAATAACTCCAKAAGAAGTAATTCCAATAAATTTGTTCCAAAAAGCCATTGCGAAAGAACCRTATTTAATAATTTTTAGATATCTGCAACCAATCAGAKTGAGCCGGAAGTTATCAAAAAGAACAATCGTGAATCTAAGGAAGTGTTTTTTTTTTCTTTTTTTCAATCAAGCGAATTGAAATTGTTTGATACCGTTCACGTACATGTATCTTGTTTATCATAGACTTAAGGCGCCCACATCTACGTTAGTAAAGCATAATTTGGACCGTCAAAAACAAATGATTATATAAATAAATAAGGTCAAAGAAGGAGAAAAGGAAAATAGCAAACGAAAAAAAATACGGAACTCTCCAATGCCCTTTTTTAATAAAACAGCACGTCTAAGGTAGTAAAGCTTACTTTTGGCACACAAAAATAAATAATTAAATAAATAAACAAAGTCAAAGAAAGTGGAAAAGGAAAAAAGCAAACGAGAAAATACGGAACTCTTCCTGTGCCTTCTGATAAAACAACACGTCCGCACACTACTATTACGCTGGTAAATAACTAGCTATTAGCAATTAATTGTAAAGGAAATAGAGAAAAGAAATCCGAAAAGGAATTCCCCATAAGATCATGACACTTCTATCAGTACAAGAAAGGTTTTAATTAGTATCAATATGAGTTAAAAGTGTACTGTAAATCAATATGTCAGTTTACAGTTTGGACAACAAAGTGTTAGTAATTTCCATGTTATAGTGATTTCAATGTTTCGCATTAAATTGCTGTGTGACATCAGTTCCTTTGAACGTCAGGATTGMGCTCCACGTAAACTCAACACCGCTAATRGCAGAGATWTAATTTGTACGTGTAGCTAGTTTAAATAAAAACAATAACAATGAGGTCTCAAAATAAAGGAAAAAGTTTCAAAGCATATAAGCCTAGTCAGAATATATCCTCTAAATAACAAGGGAAATCAGTATTGTAAAATGTTTATGAAAATCTTGAAACAATTCTAATAGACCCTTTTCAAAATGGCCGCTGCTCATGAGCTCTTTTATTTTTGCTTTATCTCATAATTTTTTATCTTTTCTCTTTGTCTTTCTTTTCTTCTCATTTTTCTGACAAAGACAAAGTAAACTTTATTTTATATTTTTTTCATTTTTTGTTTCTTTCTTTTTTTCCCATTTTTYAAACTAAGGTAAAACGAATTCTGGAAAATAAATGCATACCTCACTCTGCAAAAACAAAGTAGATTCCATTCATAATCGACAGTAACATACAAAAGACAATAATGTCTAGCCGGGGAGCATACAACACTAGGCATAACGTTATGCCTGGAAAAAATCGCGCGCTTTAAAGGTTGTAAATTTGATGTAAATATCATGTAAGTGTCCAAAATTCTGTAAATTTAATGGAAATCATTTACATCAAATTTACAGAATTTTGGGCACTTACATCATATTTACATCAAATTTACAACCTTTAAACCGCGCGATTTTTTCCAATGAACATCGAGAAGAAGAAGATTTAAAAAGTATGTATCTCTAAATTTTCATTGGAATTACTTAACGTCCGTAGCCACGCAAAAAATAGCAACCGAGATGCACTGCCGAAGATGCTCGTTGCGAAACCAGAAAAATAGTGGTTACCGAGGCAACTTCCTCAGAAACTAGACAATGTTAATGTTTTAAAAGCGAGAGTGGGACATTGCCTCGGTTTGCCTCATAGCTCTATAGCTCTTTAGTTTTTTGACAGGGTTTGAGTTTGTTTTAGGTTAGGTTTGAGAAAAAAAAGAGCTTCTACACTGAAGTCAAACGTTTGGTCAAATGCCTCTCATAACAAAACAATTCATGTAAATTCAGTGTTGTGCGCAGAAATCCCATTAGGTACGTGCACGACCAGCACATCTCACTTCCTATCTATATATCACCGATTCTTAACKCCAACCCGATTGATGACGCTCAGTCGTTGTCAGAACTACTGATGACTGAGGCAGTCCAGCATAATTTTACTTTGTCCGGCATTATTGGATGATCTAGCAGTATTTTCTATAGYGAAACATATATAGTGAAATTCATAGTCGAGTGACGAGTGAAGGTATCCTTTAGCAGCATGATTGTGATCAGAAAAAGAATGTATACAAATGTAGCCAAGGCTGCTATGATGGTTGAAAATGTATATCGTGAATCCGAGCTTTCGCTGTACTACAGCATCATTAGGGAATGACAAGAAGAATAATATAGTCGAGTGAAATTTGAATTTCAGTATTGTACTACACCACTTTTCAAAAAGGGAACCTCAAAAAGTATTACAATTCACGTAAATCGTTCTTAATAAAAGTCTAAATTGCATTTTTTCCGCCGACGTCATGCCAGTAGCCATTTTGTTGAGATTTCCGCACATTAATTAAAGGCACGATTATTAGTGATCACTGCTCGCGTCACCAACATGCCCGTCGATGACTTGTCGCTATCATCTCAATTATTTATCAAAAGCCAGCAATTCAACATCTGCAAGACTGTAAGATCAAGTTGATGCTTAACTGACTATWGTTGCTCTTTATCGTTACTTTTCCATTATCCGCCATGTTCTTTTATAAAGATTA